TATATATATATACACACACTTAAAAGTGAGATGGGGTCAGGGAGTGTGTTTTTCGACATTACAATGTAACCTGAACAAAGCCCTGTTTCAGTTATCTGGTTGCTTATTACGGAAGACTTCATCCAACGATGGGAGCTCTTCTAACATGAGTTATAGAAACAACAGTGGGTCACCAGGGTGGTTCACTATTACAGCTTATTCAACATCAGACAAAAGCTCTGTTTGTTTGCTTTAAAAGGAGTTTTTCAAAAGACAAAAGTGCAACATCAGGACACAACCGAAACAAACAGGAAGCTGCAGCACTGATGGATTCATTTCAAAATAAACCTCCAAAGAAAACACACAAAAACAAAAGCAGATGGATCCAAGAGCAAGGAAGCGTTTAAATTAATTTGACATATAAAACAGAAAGTTACATAATCCAGCACTCCAGTACTGTACTTTAGCTGTAACCTGTATTTGCGTGTACTCGAGTAAAATAAAGTGCCGACAGCAGCTGCTCCTGTGTATTAACGCTCTTCCTTTCAGCCCTAGTGCATACATCATTTGGTCCAAGCCCAAAAATAATTCTGAGAACCCAATTGATTTCCCCAAAGTCATTTGTGCTAAGCTATCCAAGCTCTTAAAATGCTAAATTAACACTTAACTCTAGATTAGTTTTCTTTAGGTATGAACTTTAACCATTAAAAAAAAGTCACACCAGATTTTGGTTTCGGGTGCGAAAGCCCGTCAACAAATACTCGACAGCGATATTACTTCATATGCAAATGCATAACTGGATTAAGTGCAAATTCCATACAGATGCCCCAGAATGCATTTCAGAATGCATCGGCTCCACAGCTTTGGCAAACCTCTGAAAAGTTGAATTCCAAACTTTGAAAAATACTCCGCCTGCTACTCGGTTATTAGCGCGATGGTATGAAAAGTGAGTAGAGTCGTTCTCAGACGCTTTCTTTAAAAAAATAGCTCGTTTCAGGAGTAAAATCCGTCTCTTTAGGAAATATGAACGGGTAAATTCAAATAAGCCCCCCCCCCCCACACACACACACACACACAGGCGTTACTGCTCTTTGGTGGTACAGTAGAACCACGCTTCAGTGTGCGCCTCGTCTTTGGAAAAGTAAAGATTCCACTTCGATGATTTCAAAAAGGAAAAAAAGAAAAACTTGAGTCTCAGTAGCTGAAAAGTACCTTCACAAAACTGTGTGAGCCGTTGATGATGCAACACCAAACCCTCTGCTTCAGGACTGGAGGACGCTGCTGCTACAGACACACCGGTCTCTAATGTTGCACTCGTGACGGAGGGACCACGCGGGCTGTGACGACGACACGATCGCCGCTAGCAGCGCGGTAGCGGCGCGGTCTGGAGGATGAAGGCTGTGCAAAATGGCATTCTGAGGTGTCCCGCTCCTCTAGACACCTCCTACTGATGGGACTGGGAGGACGATGAAGACGGGGGAGAGGGCTGGGAGGGCTGGGGGGGCAGCAGGCTGTGTGTGCGTGAGGGCAGCTGGGGTCGCGGCTGCGGGGAGGAGGACCCGGAGTCGGGGGGGTCGGGGCCCGGGCTGCCTTCGTTCACCTCCGTGTCCACCTGGGCCGGACACTCGAAGTGAACACAGTGGAACACCTGAGGAGAGATCAGAGTCAAACGCTGACGGGAGAAGATCGATGCTCGAGTCTGCTCGTTGGTGAAAGATGATTTCCTTTAACTACCAGCCACCGAGACCTGAGATACTATTAATATCATATTAATCCAGACGGGTGTGAAATCAGTTTAGGTACCCGGGGACCTTTGCCTGACACAGATTTAGTTCAAATGTATGATTTTGTGTTTCCTGTGCTTTCACCTCATTAGCCGTGTTGTGAGTCCCAACGATACGGATGAAGGAAGCCGGCTGCTTATCAAACTTCAATGTCTGCCACGATCTGGAAGAAAACATCAGAACAGAAACACGAGACGTTAGGATCGTTTCTCAGTTTACAACATTAACGTCTGTTATGATAACATGTTCCTGACACGGTCCTGATTGTTGCTGAGACAGTTTATCATGAATTGGTTGATTTTAAGATTTTGGGCAATCTCGCTTCAATCACATCTTCTTTCAGACGAGTGGAAAGAAAACATCCTAAATACACATCTAGGTGTTTGTTTTCCTACTTTGTCTGTTTACGTCTGTAGATTTCTTCTAAATTCACCAGAAGTTAGCGTTAGATAATGCCTCATTTGCATATTTAAACATGTCCTTTCAGAAAAAAACTTGTTCTACAAAAAAGAACTGCCTTAATGTCAGTAATCACCTGAGGAAGTTCTGTAGTTATGTCTGTTAGTCTGTTCACCTGAGGTGTCTCCACAACATGGAAACGTTTGTTAAATGTTTGACATTAAACTGAGGATATTCTGGTCCTGAAAGCTTCAAATCTGGTCTACCTCCAAGGGCAACAGCAACATCTCTATGTGGCTCAATGTCCCTTTATACGTTATCAGTCAATAACACACACACACACTATCATAACTTTGCTTAATTTCTAGATCAGAGTGTGAAGTTATTGAAGGAAAGAGTAACAGAGATGTGGAGGAAGCGACAGCAGAGGAAGCGGGAGCCTCACCGACATGCCTGCCTGGTGCGGTCCACCACCTTCGTCCACTGCTGCTGGTTGCTGGAGACCTCGATGTAATAACTGTAGGAGCGCTCGTCACAGTCCCACAGCAGCAGCCTGAACAGGAAGAGGACGGGAAGAAGCATTTACCCGTTTTGGACACAACGATCTTCAAAATTAAGCATTACCATTGCTTATGAGTTACTGCAGGTGTATATACCAACATCCCTGAACAAACACAAGCCCATGCTTACTCTCACATGCACACACACGCTCACACACACTCGACACAATTACATTATTTTTTTCTTTTTCTTTCTTTCTTTCTTTCTTTCTTTTGTTGTAATGTAATGTCTTATGCATTTTTAATTTAATCTTTGTAATATTATATAGGTGGAGGCTTCAAATAAGCCCAGTTGTCTCTTCCTGCACTGTGATATTCATTTATCTCTGTTATGTTTGATTATTTTAAATTTTATTGTTTGAATTGTGCAAAATAAATAAATCAAATGAATCAAAAATACATTTCCCCAGTTTTAATCCTGTTTCCATGTGTTGTTCATTTATCTCCCGTTTCTTTTTCTTCAGTAAAACGGTTTCAAATGTTTGACGACCAAAGCAATGTGGCTGAGGTTGAATTCATTCAAGGGAAACTTTGCCGTCTTTAACGTCCGCTGGATGAAGCGAAACCGCTGACGGAGTTTTGCAAATCCCTCGTGTAAATGTGCACACGCTCACAAACGCTGTTTCACCGTGAAATACGTCACAGTGCACAACAGACAGATGTTAAAGTGAGAATGTGTGACTCACTTTTTGGTTTTAAAAATAATTGTTTACAAAGTATTGGGGTTACAAATGTGAATGAAATATATTTTTCTTTTCTTTTTGAAATATCTTAAATTCTTGAGGGTAGCTTAATTGATAAGGACTACGACTATGACTATGACTACTACGACTACTACTATTACTACTACGACTACTACGTCTACTACTACGTTAAATAGCAGTCATCAAACCCAAAGCACCACAATATGACACAATTATAAAATAGTCATAATTTTAGGTCTCATAATTGTATTAATAAGTGACAAACAGCGAAGATACAATTCAAGGAACTTCAATGTCCATGTGGCTTAGAAAAGAAGAATTAAAATATAAATGAAGAGTACATATCATCATTGCTCTGTTAGCGTCGTCAGCATGTTTAACTCCCGCTGGAGAAATGAAATCATTTAGTTTTTTGTCTTCACTCGTATTATGACGTGGTCAGATCTACCTCAGGGATCCGATGGAGTAGGGCTGAGCCAGCTGGATGACGATGGCTCCGGAGCCCAGCTGGTGGCAGGTGTAGCCGGAGTCCCAGTCGTAGTTGCGCGTGTCGCCGTTGAGCAAGGCATTTCTGCAACGGCTCACGCCTTCAATGACACTGGCGCACAACGCGATGGTCGCCACGTTCTCACCGGGCACTGCAGACATCGGGCGCACGGTCACACACTTGTTCTGCTGCGATCGGCACTTTCTTTGTATGAAACGGGTCTAGCTCACTGCTTTTAACCTGAATAACTTCAACATAACTCCTAAACTAGACATTACAAGCAAACAGAGGAAAGCTAGGATGAAAGCTGAATGTCTGAAGCCTTTGAAGTGAAGTTCACTTCTTAGAAACACTGCAGATTACACATGTAGAAAGACACTAGGTGTGTTTCTGTGTCTGCGACTTACCCAAAAGGCCGTTCTCGAGGGTAAACGAGCGGTTGGTGAACATGCATTCAAAAGCCACGAGGTGGAACACCTTGTTCACCGTGTTGTGTGTTCCCACAATGCGAACGTACCTGAGACACAAAGGGCGACATCGTGAAGGAGGGATGTATCGCAACACTATTGTTTTAGACAAACCTTTATGGAAAGCTTGAGTCATATGTTGTGACGTCTGTTTGGATGTTTACACACCGTTATCTCAAACCATGCACGCCTTAAACACATTATCTCCAATCTGGAGAGTCTCCAACATCACCTGTATTTGTGCAACAAGGTGAAAATATGCTTCTCTGTCCTCTGCCAGGTAAACACAAACCTAAACATAAACCAAATCAACTCCGGAAAAAAACCATAAAACACAGACTGTAATTGCTACGAACACCAGGTTAAGACAAGTGATGGCACAGACGAGCACTTTGTGTTTGGAAAGGGCTCGATGGCAGAACACCAGAAGAGGTTGAACTAGCTGTGAGTGCATGCGTTTCTTATTTATGAGTTTCTTAGAAAAGGGCACGGTGAACGTGCACGGAATGCTACAAAGTACATTTTTCCACAACAGCTCGAGCCAACGGATGATAACTGATTCTGGGGTCAAATGGATTCGTTCAGCTTACCTGCAAACTCGTGGTGTGAAGTACAGATCCTGCCAGGAGCGGCAGAGGTACTTTGTGTGGTCCACAACACGCACCCAGTCCAGCTCATCCATAGACACCTCGATGTGGTACGAGTAGGACCTGAGATAATAAAGGACATTTGAAATCACACAAACTCAAAAGCAAACATTACGTACAATCATACATTCTCACTACACGATTATCGTGGCCAAAATAATTCATGTTAAACATATTATCCCGATATCTATAGAAAGTTAGAAAACAAAAATGATCATCTTTAACTTTTGTCTCTTTTGTAGTAAACTAATTACACTGAAAATACGAGTGTAGGGAGGTGGAGAGAGTCTGTAACCCAAACTGTTTATATATATATATATATATAACATGATTTAAAAGGTGCTGTTCACATCATATGTGTATTTTTAACATGGCATCAATATGTCATTTTTGAACATCACGGTATTTTGCATACTGTACGTCTACAGATTAAATCCAAGCCCTGCTACGTTAGTCCGCATCTTCCCTTTGGTTTGGGGGAGGCCAGCCTGTCTTACCGACTGTCTCTGTCCCACAGCAGCAGGCGGACGTGGTTGATGATGGACGACTGGCCCAGTTTGACCTGGATCCCGGCCCGCCCGTCGTCCTCGATGGGGTGCCTGGAGAAGCCGTGGTCCAGGTCGTAGTTCTGGGTGTCTCCGTCCAGCAGCGCCGACTTCAGCTCCCCTTTCATCACCTGAGCTCCGTACTTCATGGTAGCAATGTTCTCCTCCGGGACTGAAACCAGAGCAGAAGAAATGTGCAAATGAATACATGAAATACACAGGTAATACATGAAAAACACAGGCATAAACTATACAAAATGTTTGATGTGATAACAGTAAGGGAGGAGCACTGACTCAGCATGCCCCGGTAGTTGAGGTCCATGTTGCGGCTCTCGGAGCGGGTCTTGATGGCGTCCAGCAGGTCGTCTGGGCTCAGCAGGCCGGACGGCCGCACCACGTTCAGCATCTCCGTCAGAGTCATGAGCGGCAGCCGCACTGCCGACATCACTTCCTGGGTGTCGGCCCCCTCCTCGTGCTGCCGGCACCAGCGACTCAGCGCCTGGAAGATCTCCTTCTCGCTGGCAGCAAACGAGTCGCGTCTCATCACGGTCAGCAGAGCAGTCTGCAAACAGGTACTTTAACTTTAACTTAAGTCAAAAATACCAAACATGCAGTGATTACAGCGTCTTAGTATTTGCTTGTTTTCGTGCATTTCAAATCCATGTAAATATAAATACTATGTTTTTTTTACTGTTGACCAAACAAGCAAGTACTTTTTTTAGGCTCTGAAAATGATACTTTATTGGTCATTAGTTATTAAAAACGAATGGATAATAGATTAATTATAAAAAATAAATACATTGAGACAAGAGTGGATTACTTGATTACTAAAATAAGAGTGAGATGCATCCACACTGGTTCATGGAACAAGATCGAGTCAGAGCTGCAAACATGGGAGGAAGAATATCTTTGTCTGGGCACGTCATGTTTATGTCTCATGAGCTGAGCTGAAGTCACACGTTAAGATTTATTGAAATGTTCCAACAGCCATCAATAAATCAAATGCTCTAATAAAAGGAGAGGTGAATCTGGTATCTGTGGCTGTAATAGCAGGACTGTAATAAGGCTACCCGCCTTCCTGTGCACTCTGCATGTGAACCCATGGCGCGTCACACACACCTGCAATAAAGGCTGATCTCTGTTGCACTAGTGGCAGGTAAGTAGAAATAACTTACCTGCCACTAGAGGTATCTCAGATTTATGTTACAACAACAGCATACATGAGATATATATTTCAAACCATATTTCACAATGTATGGAGAAAATAAGGCTTCCTTAACGTAAGAATGAACCACACGCAATACTCATTACAACTCATCATACATCATTCTGTAATCCAGCAACCTCTTACCTTAGAGAGCATGAGGAAGCCGTCAGAATTCAGCACTTCGGGTCCGTGTCTGTCTATGTAGGCGCAGCAGGCTGCACTAAGCGCGCTCAGAGAGTACAGACTGGCCACGTCAAAAACCAGGCAGACGTTGTTGGTGTGCAGGACGGTGCGGAGGAACTCGGAGGTGGAGTCCTCCAGCGGCTGGAGGCCATAGCGGTGAGCCAGGCCCAGGAAGTCCAGCAGCACCTCTTCCCGGGCAGAGCTGAGGCTGGCCCGACCCGTGTACAGGTAGTTTAGCAGCATCGAGAAGGCTTCAGCCCGCGTCTCCTCTAAACGCACCTCGGCCTGGGGCTGGGACTCTTTCATCCCACCGTACAGCAGGGCCCTAAAGGAGCCAGAAGAAGCAAGAAGGTAATAGTTAATATGTTATTCCAGTGGCCATGCTTTTTCTTACTCTGCAAGCTTTGGACCGTCTCAACCGGCTGCCAGCAGTCTCACAAACATGGCAATGCACTCTGACAAACATAAAGAATAACAAAAACTGGCAAGGCATCAAGGTTGTATATGTAGTGTCATATGTATATCTAGTAGTAAATACTCCGTATGCACACATATATAGACGACACAAGTGAACCATGGGGGTTTGAGTCATTAACTCTTACCTGAAATAGTGACAGCGAGCTGCCAGGATGACGCGGTGCGCCGGGAACCGCTTCCCCTCCACCACAAAGGTGACATCGCTGTACTCCTCTCCGAGAACCAGGGCGCCCAGCTGCTCAGACAACAGGTGGATGTGGTCGATCTCCGACACGGAGGCCAGTGGGCGCAGAGGGTGGCTGTTACTCATGGTCCACGGCTACTTGAGTCACATCTAACACACGAGGAAACGTGTCAAAGTCAAGGCACAGCATGGAGTTAATCAGCTTAATTAATATTGTACTTTTTGCTACATCTCAGAGGTAAATATTGTACTTTTTACTGTACTATATCTCAGAGGTAAATATTGTACTTTTTACTGTACTACATCTCAGAGGTACATATTGTACGTTTTACTGTACTACATCTGAGAGGTACATATTTACGTTTTAAACAAGTTTTAAATCACAGCTAGCTTAATGCTAACTAGAATGCCTTGGAATCTAACGACAACCGTAAACTAACATTGGGTTACAAAAACCCAGTATTTGTCCGTGTACGTTGCTCACATTTCAGCTAAAACAACGCAGTGAGCACGTTCAACATGCTGTGATAACGATAACAAGCTTAATATGTTGAGCTTTCTTGTTTACAGCCGACATTTGACACCGAAACAAACGTTAGCTAAAGCTAGCTAGCAGCGCACCAAAGGTTCGTTTTCATTGTTAATTCGTCGTTTTAAACTTACCGAGTAGCTCTCGGTCACTCCGTTATTTAAATAAAGATGATTTTAAAAATAATACATTAAAAAGTGATTGTTTTCCCCACTGTATACGAAAATTCAGCACCAAATACACAATTCTTCCAACATCACATAAACGGAAACTAATTCTGGGTCAACGGACGTCAACTTCCGGTTCGTCAAACCGTTTTCAAAATAAAGGTCCCCGCATTACTTATTATTCTTTGGTGTTTTTTCCCCAGCAGTTTGCATCCTTTAAGTGGCTTTACTGCCCACTGCTGGATTTAATTGCAGCTGTTATCACATTTTCTTACAAATAATCCGGTTGCTTCTAAAAGCTAAAATATCCCTTTTCTCGTGCTAATACTGTTGCCACTGTTTGCGTATTTCCCTCCAACTTTAAAATTATAATATTTATTTCCACGTGTTTACTTTAGTTGTAGTTTTAGTTTATTTTGCACAATTTAAAAAATACACGAACATAACAGAGATAAATAATATCACAGTATAGGAAGATGCACAAAATCCCACTGGGCTTATTTGAAGCCTCCACCTATATAGTATTAAAATGTCACAATATTATAGAGAACACAAAATTAACAAGATAAGAAATATAGGTAACATTGATGACAAACTAAAAAATGCTGCTTACATGTTAATGCATCAGTAAAAATATTGTAATATATAATAATGGATATAGCTCTGACGTTTTGCCTATAATAATTCCTGTTACTGAACACATAATTGTAATGGAGTATTTTTAGATTGTGGTTTTGCTTCTGAATACGAATTTTAAAAAAAACAGTGACTGTTCACTGTTAATGTAAGTTCATGGTATTCATTAGCAGTCATTGTTTTTTTGTGTGTGTTTTTTTAACTCGACCCTGTCCTTTAAGATCACCTTGTTTTTTAGTTTCAACAGCTTCACCAACATTTAGTGACTTGACCCAGTGGAGTACACTTCCTGTGTTTTGTGACAAAGGACCTGAATGCCTGAATCGCCAAATATAACATGACTGATACACACATCAACTCTGCGTTTGACTCTGCAGTGTGAACTGTTATGGCAATTCACAAAACACTTGACAGTACAGCGACATAATGAATTAAAATGACCGTACAGTAACTCAGCTCATTAGATCCCTGTGCTGAAGCCCAATTATTCCTGGACGCAATTAAAATCAATGAGGAAGATAATCCATGAAGACATTTTACTACATCTGACTTTAAGCATCGTGCATCTCTATTTCTTTCTTCTAAATGTGTTGCTTCTTAAAGAGACATGCATGATCTACTTCCTGTCATCAGCAGTGTCATTTCCTCATCATGACTTTCTTCCTTTTTTATATTCTTACTCTTATGTGCACCACTTCCCTCTTACCGACTCCATTATAGCGATTCAAAGATACTGGATTTACACAGTGTTCAGTCATTCAGCTGTTTAATAAGTTTGCTTTAAATACTGATAAAAGGAGACAGAAATGTTCAAATCATTGCATATCTAACAATAAAAGAAGCAACTTGGAAAATAAAGAAAAACATGATGAGAAAATCAGCAGAATTGCTCAAGTTTGAAAAAAATTGCTCATGAATAAATTACAGGCAATACATGTTATTGAAACAAAAAAAGCAACTTACTTATAATAACCTAAGATTAGCACTTCCATCTCTGAGCACAACGAAGTGCACGAGAGCAAGTTCATCAAGCAAAATGTGTAATATATTATGCTCATTTATATTTTAAGCAACCACCCATATAGTGATACTACTTCCCCTTTTTACATTGAGACACCAGTGAGACTTCACCTCCTTGTGAAAAGGAAGATATTTACATTAATCCATCCAAAAACCATCAACAGAGAAAAGCAGACATGAGTTTGGTTTGTTTGGTTAGGTAATGGCAGCGTAGAGGTTGCTGGGATCAGCGGAGGAAGCTTTCACGGTCGCGTATGTCACCGCATCATCATCATCATCATCATGTTTACTCTGACCCTGACAGGAAACAGCACAACGTAAATAGCACAGTGTAAATAACACAACATTCTGGTGGCGGAACCCACCAGAATGACGTACTACGACATGCAAAGCAGCATCAATGATATCACAGAGTAAAACACCACATAATAAAGAATCATCATTATTACACTTTATAGCATATTGGAACACACAAAACAACACAGCGCACAATGTAGCATAGTGCAACACAACGTGTGTATCATCACCAATCAGAGAGCTCACCTGGGCTTTACTGTTGGTCTTCTTGGTGTAGCTGACGGAGGCGTAGGAAACACCTTCTTCAGGATCAGCCTGCACAGAGAGGACACAGTTATGGCTGCTCATTAACATAAACACATTATGACAGTAAAAATAAGTTATTTTGGGGGGTGGTTGGATTTGTAACTTCCTGTTTTACCCCGCGTTCTCTTCCGGTGACATCCAGTTGCATCATCTAACTTCCCTTTTTTATCTTCAATGCACATTATCCCACTCTCAAGACTCTACAGAGTGTCAGAATCAGTTATATTTCAGAGGAAAAACACACATTTCCAACATGTTCTCATTCTCATTTCGTCACACGCTGGTGCTTTGTCAGAACCATGGCGACACTTTGTAATGCACCGGGTAGCCCAGCGGCGGGTTGCAGTAAACCTGTGATTAGCGTTGTGAGTGAGGCAACAACACCATTTAGTTAGGTTTAGGAACAACAGCTTTAGCTTTACCAAGCTAGCGAACTAGCCAGCTGTCTGCTAGTTCGCTAGCTAGTGTGTTACTTCCACCATGCTTTAATGCTACACTGCTTACAGAAAATGAACCGAACAAAGTTGTCGCTCATCTGGCGATAGCGATGTGCTTTCCTTATGCTCTGTGTAGTGTTGTAGCATGTGATCTCACCGTGTCCTGGCTGGTCTCTGGAGCAGGGTTTGAGGTCATTCCCTGGACAGAAAGCATTTTACACTTGAGTTAATTCATATGTTGCCAGGGTTCCAAGACAAACAATAGCTGTGCTGTTGTTGTTTGAGAGGCTGCAATTCATGCTGTTTATGGCTGAATAAGAAAAGCATAAATTAGCTTTGGCCCACTTTTTTTAGCTTTTCTTCACAATCACTTCCTGTTGCTGCAACAACTTTGTTTTAATACAACACAGGCCATACTGTTTATCTGTTCTCAGCTATTGAATCGAAATGTATGGTGAAGAACAGTTTTTTACACTCACAACATTGCCGTCCGTCCGTGTTGTGTTCCCTGAAAAGACAAAAAAGTTTGTTGAAAAGTTATTCAACGAAAATACAGTATTCTCAAACTGTGTTAAAGTTTCATCCATTCTCTCACCTTTAGTTCTCTTCCATTTGATGAGAGCCACAGTGATTATTAAGAGTGCTACTAAAACCACAGCCACAATGACGTACCACCAAACTGCAAAAATAATAAAATGTTTTAGGCATATTTTCTGCATCCTTCTGTTCTGTTGAAAACTGAAATCTTTGGTGCAAAAACTGGATCCAACAAAAACACATCTGTAGAGATGTGTTTAAAGGTTCCACAAAAATACATAAAGACATAAAATGTTGAGTCACTACTTACTACTACTAATTGCAAAAAGTGTCGTGGTGTCAGCTGCTTTAGTGTCGTCTTCAGTTGGTGTTGAC